TAATAAGGGTAGTGTTAATATGATAAGGAAATGACTACCATTTTGATTGGTATCCTGAGTTTAATACTGATACAAGAGATTAAATTAGATCAAGAGAACAGGAAACAATCTATGCTTAATATACATATGTTTTTTGTTACATCTTGTGGCCGAGTGGATGCCCAGTTAATGTATAAAGTGATAAGACCGCCAATTAAAGAGCAGCGAACTATCGATTGTAATAGTAACGTACAAAAACCGTACGAGCAGTCTAGAGTACGTATCGGTCTTGCTTTTGCCTAGCCTAGCTAGTTAAGTCCAGAACAGCCTCTGCGGTAAGAACCATCATATTTCAAACATACTGAGTTTGTATACCAATCAAACTGACCACATCGTACCATAAAATAGAAAATAACATATGTACGAGATTTAGCCAAACGTGGCTATGAATAGGGGAGATAGTAATTAATAGACAGGACATAATTGAGGAATGGTAAATCATATAATAACAATTTATAGTTCAAAATAAAGCTTATAATAAAGGGGAAACGGATATGAATACTCTAGTTATTTAGCGACTAAACGATAAAAAATATATGCATAATATTGGTTCATTAATAGATTCCAAAGTTACCATTCATTATTCTTATCGGGACATAAGATTGGTATATAGGTTGACAGATACATAGAGCAAAGCCATTAGTTTAACTAATATAAATTTGAATTCTTTAATTCCTTTAATAATTAATTCGTTGGTGGGGTTGAAGATAAGATAATTCACGGTGTTTATTTCACTTAATAAATTATATTACTAACACTGAAACTATGCTTCTCATTAGAAATTTTAAGAATTTACCCAACACCACTAATCAAATAATGTTTGTTTGAATTCAACTTCATTTATACCCGCTTAACCAAATCACTTGACTACAGAGTTCCTAAATGTGGATTTCGCTATAAGCGGATATGTGATGTTCATTCTAACCAATCTTAATGTCCATTGGTTTACACAGTTTGTTATTTACAAGAAGAATATTTGTTGCACAAAAAAAACCAGTCAGGTGAATGACTTTTGATTATTCGCTGTTTCCAAGACTCAAAAAGTCAAGGGATAATGCATATCAATTACAAGATTAAGACGCATCACATATAGGAAACCACGATTTGTATGTAACTAGTTCATTTATATTACAAAACTGAGTACTATATGTCTAGTTATTTGAATAGTAGAAGATATATAAACTGTTAATAGATTCAATGAAAGCTTACAGTCAGAACAACGCAGAAATGCCGTAAATCAATTACTTAATAGGAATAAAAAAAACATGCAGTAGTAATCGTCTTTAGAGCAGTCCTCAAAGTTCCAGCTTTTCCAAATGTTTCACCATAACTAATAACACGTTTTCGAATTTGTAAATAATGCACTCGTTTATAAGTGGTACACCTACTTCGAGACCTGGAGGTTAATATCAATAACTGTTTCTTTAAATGAATTAATTGTAACAAAGTCTACTATATATAAGAAGCATTTTGTCAAGAGGCTTTCGAACTGTTCTAGCTGATCTTTCGAATTACCTATCAAACGTAACTAAATACTAGTCATAAATTTTAATGATGCAATGATCAGTGATATCATATAGCATTTTTGAAAATTAACTTGGTTTGTTATGTTGCTTCCATGGATGCTTGAAACTGTCTGTCATTTTCAAAAATGTAGTTTTTATTTCAAATAATTAAACTGCATTTATTCTAAAAAGGATACAAAACATCACAGTATGTCACAACATTTATGTTTGACCAGATGCGGCTCCGCAGAACCAAAGAATTAAAGATTGGGTAAAATTTCATATAACTTCATGTTTTTGACCATTTGACGAAAGTTTCATTTACTACTAAACCCCACTCTATGTGAATCAGTCTCCGGGATAGTGTCAGGTAGATATATTTTATCATAACAATATGCCTTCTCACTGACTTAAGCAGTTACATCATGTCATGGTAGATTTATCAATTCATTAACTTCTCTGACTTGAAACTAAACGCCTTTTAACCAAATTTCAAGCATAAGCCGATAGTTTTTATGCTTAGTTAACTAATAATGATAATTTCAAATACCTCAGAGTAAAGTTCGTACCTTTTTCTTCTTCAATGTTCTATTCCCAATCCTGACAATGTTAGTTTTGTATATCTGATTACTAGCTGCGTAAATTTTAAATTTGTTAATAACCTCTCTTGTCGGTATTTAAAAGATATTTAACTAGTTATAACAACTATCCTACAACCAATTTCGATTATGGTTAATTTTGGTTAAGCCTTTTTATTAACTTAACAGACATTGTCATTTGGATAGTAACAACTCGAATACATCTTTGTACTGTTATGATCACCACAACACATGACAGACTCTAGCCAAAACGTTGATTGCTTAAATATCATTCTATGATTCAACCTCCTGCCCGTATATGTATGCACTCAAATCCTATTATTAGGTTTTATTTTGTCTTGCTGCGCCCTTACAGTTTGACTATAAATTTGCCTATGTAATTGCTCTCGCTAGCTCGCTTGCTGTTACTTACTCATGTGCTTGTAGTTTTGTGGCCTGCGTCATTTGGTAATGAACTGTAGTTGCAGCTTCTCTTTGCCTTCTGATTTCATGCAAAGTTAAGACTTGTATTATAACGGTTATCGAGGTGAAAGATTAGCGAAGCGTTGCACTACATATTTGCTATATCCAACTTCGTGATAAAACCGAAATCTAATCTTTAAATCATTCAGCTAAAAGTGTAAATTTTAATGATTCACAATAAAAATTGACGATTTCAACTTTATGACAAACATCAATTAGATAGTAAACGTAGATTTTGTTTTTGTCTGTTGAAGAGATGGTTTACAATAAGATTATATTCTACAATATTTAATTAAACATTCATTACTCTATACTTGGTATATCAGTCATATAAACAGTTACTCTGTTTGAATTATTCCCGACACAACCTAACCTGTTTGTAGATTAAAACAAAATAGCATTAATTAAATGAAAATCCCTATCATCTCAAAATTAACTATATATAGTTGCTTCATTGAATTTATACTTTTTTAAAGAACTAATTAGATTTATTTTATTGATTCTTGGACTTTTGTGAGAAATACACACTACTACGGAGGATAGCTTCAATTACATTGAGAACTAAGTCAGAAATATCCGAAAGCTAACAAAATTCAGTTTCCATGACAACGAATTGATAAAACATGACGTTACATGATTTATGAAGTTGTGTAGGGAGCCTGAAGGTGTCTGGCAGTTAATAAAGAAATGTTAGTGATATGTGTGCTCATCCGTTTACATACAAACCCCTTTTCTACATTACTTACTATCTTCTCTTCTGAACAACACTTCCATAGCTAATCTTTAATCAAAATCTTAAATATAAATCAGTCGTAAGCCTAAATCCTAATCCTAAATCAAACTCCTAACTTTGAATCTCAAATAATACTCGTAATTCAAACCGTAACGTCTTTAGTACTTTTGCCTCATAATTTATTCATACATGTCGCGTCTAGTCTGATAGACTAAAAGTTACCATTACTTTCAAAAAGTCATTTTAAAAGTCACTGAAGTTTGCTAGTAAAGTCTACTTTGACCATTAAATCATTAAATTTAATCCATTGAAAGATCTTATTGCATTCTACACTGATTTAAAATAAATAGAATTGTAGACGCTCCACACAACTTAGGATACAGGCAGGCATTATCACTCATATAAATAGATTTATCATAACTAACTGTTAATTAATTACAATGTAGTAAAAACTGTTTTACGCTAATATAACGTATAAATGTCTGAAGACTAAAAGTTCTTCTGTGAAATTAAGTAGTGGTTGTTGCTGAATTAATAAAACCATCCAAAAGTTAGTGACTTCGCTTTATTAGTATTGATGACTAAATCTGATCGATCTCCATTAAATCCGCGCTCTGTGAAATGGAGTTTAGATACTAGTTACGGCTACAAGTTCACTAACTTTTTAAATAATGAATAGTAATAATAAAATAAAAGGCGTTCGTTTCAACCTATTTTGGAATCGGCAGCTAAATATATCAGTATGAATAAAAATTTGGTACACAGGTACATCCTTACTAAGATAAAAAGTGTATGTTAGGTTTTACAGTTAACCATCAAACAAATAATTCTGTCAGTATGAGGTTGTGTTGATTGTCGAGTTTAGATTGATATCATGAATAGATCATGTGGGGATACACACTGCTGGACAGTCCCATACTAGGACTAAATGGCCTTCCAGTACTTCCACATTTTCAATAGTGGTCTGATATTGATCCATTCATGATATCAATCTAAATAATTGTGTAGAAAAAAAAGTCATTAATGAATATCTTAATGTTTTGCTTTTTCCCCTTTACCCATGAGAACGATCACTGTTTCCATTTAATTGTTCTAATTGATTCAACATTTATACACAATCGATATCTTTCCAATGTTTACAATTAATCATCGTTTTTTCTTTGTCATTTCTAGAGTATCACCCACGCAACCGATGATGACATAATCCAAAAAAATAAACAATCTAGCTATAGAAAAAAAAATTATAATCAAATTACTATTCAATTATGCTACACTTTTTTTTCTTCTTCAAATTAAATCATGATCACCATTGTAGATAAATGCACATAATATATTTACTTGATTTTGGCATTTCTTCATCTACCATTGTACATTGAATTAATTAAATTAATTTGATTGGTCATTCAATTTGAAAAATAAACAAGTGGGCGTTTTTATATTCTGCACAATTCATATGAAATCTCTCACTATTATTTGAGTATAAAAAGGAGATAAATGATTGAATGAATAAATAAAATAAATAAATAAACAAATAAATAAATAAATTAAAAAAACTGAAAAACCATTATCGATTAAAGTCTGTTATACTAAGAGAGAAAAAAGAAGGAACAGTCCATTTACATTTTTGGAATTAACAACAGAAGAAAAATATATTTAGAGGAAATGATAATCAGATTTCTACTGTACTGTAAGTTATGATATTAATATTTGTGGCTTTAATTGTTCTTTTTGTTTTAGAAAAAAAGACACATATTCGTTTATTAAACATTTCAGTGTAATATTCATTTTTTTTTGACAAACAAATAGTATTAACAAAGATTGATAGTGACTAGCAGTGGAATCCAGTTTGACGCGCGTTTCGTCCTATTTTGAACTCGTCAGCTAGATGTACCTGCATCTGAGAGTTCGTGTTCACTCTGGGACTCGAACCCGGTACCTTTCGCTTCTAACGTGCGTTCTAGATTCTACTGCTAGCCACTATCCATCTTTGCTTATAATGCTTGTGAATTAAGACAATATCGAGGCAATACGCACAGTATGCACATATGCCAATAAGATAATGATCAATTGCAGTCCTAAAAATCAATGGGAAGATTCAAACAAACAATACTAAGTGCATTTAAATAGTAATAACATTTTAAACCTTATTATAGTGTACTACAAGATGAATGCTGACAGGTACACTGTGATCTGTAATCTATGAAATCTAACCCAGATCACCATTGAAAACCTGGAACCACTAAACGACCGTTTCATTCTGGTATGGGACTCCTTACTATTGAGCATCCATGATCTCACACAACGGCTCAAACCCAGGACCTTCGGTCTCGCTCTCGAACGCTTAATCTCTAGACCATTGAGCCGGAACTCAGCGGTGTTAATGTTTAGTTTCAACTAATTCATGATCTTGAGTAATACTTCGTTAGCTCACACCGAACATGGTTGGACTCCACTGGTTACGGCTCCGCATTAGAAGTCTAGGAAACTCATCTTGAAGCTAGTCATTAGCGATAATAATCTATGAATTTTATTCATACACAATCTAAAGTCTTAACAATGATGCAAACTGACTGATTATACATATATGAAAAATGTATACATTTAAGACGAATCTTATATATTTACCAGTGTGTCAATAAACTCAATGACATATCTATTTGCCCTGACGTGTACAGAGTAAATGTTTATATTATCTCTGTTCTATATTCAAGGAAATTGATTCTCAGATACCTATTTTGAATGGGGAAATTTATCTCTGATCAAAACATATTTAGTAATGTAATGGTTTCTTTTTAATAAATATTGAAAATAACGATGGATGAATTTAGCATTTACATTCAATAGTTTAATATCAGAAGAATCCTTTGTGTTGTTTAAAATATCTATGCTGAACGTTTTATTATATATATATATATATATATATATATATATATATATATATATATATATATATATATAACAGTAGTTTAATGAGTAATCTTTTATCATAAATTAAAACCCAATTAATTAGCTGGAAAATAAGTTTAATGTCATTGTATGTATTTTTATAATATTGGTTAAAAATTAGATAAAGGACTTTTTAGCAGTGCGCATCCACGATTCCGCTTGCGTGGTTCGAACCCAGGACCTATCAGTATCGCGTGCGAACGCTTAACCTGCAGACCACTGAGTTGTGACGGTCGTCCAGTGCTTCCAGGTTTTCTATGGTGGTCTAGCTATAATTGACTCATGAATTCAACTATTAAATTACTAAAATCTCCACAAAACCCCCTTCAATAAATTTCGTTGTTTTTAAAATGAATATTAATCATTAAAATAATGGTATTATCTTTTAAAAGACAATAAACAGACGAATACGTCCGCATATAAATGCTCAAATTAGTTTTTAATTATTTTAATCTACAAGTATGAAATATATCACAATACTTAAATCTATACAAATGACTGGTCAGTGAATAGTGATCGGTAACATGTTTATCTAATCGTTTAGTATTAATCGAGTTCTTCCAATCAAGTTGTTGTGTAACCATTAGACTAGATCACTTGATATCACATATACTGTTTTTAGATGTTAGGTAAACCTAAGCAGTTTAAACTGAAGCTGACTGACCGAGGTTCGAATCCTACAAAGAGCATCAACTCCCTTAAAATTATAAAAATTACACCGATAACTAGTGTCAACAAGCATGAAACTTAAGTTCATGATTTTCTGTTGACTATTCCAAACTATCTTGTACTTGAATATATAACTAAAAATACTTTATTATTAATGAATCATACAAATTATAACATGATGATTACAGAAAATCATTCTTGTAATAGTTCTTATACCCTTTAATTGGTAAGAAGGAAAGAGAATTCACTTGAATAGTTTATCATTATGTAATTAGGTATTACCTATATAGCAACTGAATACAACTTAAAGTAAACAAATCTGTTAAAGTGACTAGTAATTATTAGTAAGAATTTGAGTTTTTACACTACTGATATTCAATATCGAGTTTTTATTGTTCGTAGTTTGTAAACGACTACATTTTGTTCTTCTGGTTTTATTTGAAGCTGTACTTAATTTTTTAGTTTGATTTCATGTTTTTGAAATATTTTGAGTTATAAGTTCTTTTTTGTTTTAGAGTAATCCTCATTTAATACAGAAAAAGCATTTATAAAAACAGTTATTTATTTTCAGAAGTGGTTTTGCGGATATTATAGTGATTTTAATAGTTGATCATCACGGAAAACCTGTAACTACTGGACGGCCGTTTTGTTCTATTGTAGGACTCCTTAGCAGTGCGCATCCACGATCCCGCCCCGCGAGATTCGAGAAGCAGTGACCAGTGAAGTTCAACCATGTTTGTTGTGAGATAGTAACTCACTGAAGACATTGGTGGATGTGTCGCATAATTTTTCATGGATCGGTTGAAGTTAGACATTAACACTGTTGGATTCCGGCTCAGTGGTCTAGTGGTTGAGTGCTCACGCGCGAGATTGATAGGTGCTGGGTTCGAGTCCCACGAGGCGGGATCATGGATGCGCACTGCTGAGGAGTTATTTATTTATTTAGAATACCTTTTAAATTCATGTATATGACTTTGTTCCTATAACAGGAAGCATTATACTAAAAATTAGTTTTTAAACACTCACGAAAAGATTGTTTACCATTAACAGTGTTAGTGTCAAAGAGTGACAATTCTTTATGAATAGGGGAATTTGTGGAGATTTTACTTTATTTTTACGGTTGAAATCACGAGTTGGTCTAAGCTAGATCATAATTGAAAATGTGAAAGCATTAAAGTTAGACATTAATACCGCTGGATGCCGACTCAGTTATCTAGAGACTAAGCGTCCGCTCTTAGATCGAAGGTTCTGAGTTCGAGTTCCTCGTCTGGGATTGTGGATTTTTACTTGTGTAGAGTCCCATATTCGGACGAAACGGCTATCTTGTACTTCAAAGTTTTCAGTGATGGTCCAGCTTAGATCAACTCGTGGTTTCAATTATGAAAATTATTTATGGGCTGATTAGGCGTGTAATAATAAATATGTTAGCAAACTAACATTTATTATTTATAGTAACATAATGTCAAATTCACGCTTATCAACTAAACCTTTGGTGTGTCACTGTTGATATGGTATCAATGATTGCTGGCCAAAAATAAATATAAATATGATTATTCTATTGACGATGATTTAGAGATGAGGTAGCTAACATAATTCTGAATATCTGATTCTGTAGTAAACTATGGTGAAAAACAGATTATAAATTGCTTTCCAATGAAATAAAGTTTTTGTTCGAATTATGTGCTGAAAAATTGTCGCTTTAAAAAAAATTTGTCTACAGTAACACTATCTATGCAATTATATTCAATATAGAAGCAAGGTGAGACGATTCAGTCATTAATTTAGATGACTTAATTGTGTGTTAATCAGTTAATAAGATAAGGGAAAATTTGTGGACGTCCATGAAAAGACCTTTGATTAATCATCATCTTAATAAGAATACGAAAACAGTAAATGTTCGTGTCGAGTGTGAGACGGTTACCCACCGAAGAGAATGGAAAATGAGCGCACAATATCTTAGATTCATTGAAGTTAGACACTAATACCGTCGTATCCCGGCTCATTAGTCTAAAGATTAAGGGCTCACGAATGAGACTGAAGGTCATTCGTTTGAGTCTTACGTATGAGGTCATGGTTGCGCGCTAGGGAGGAGTCCTATACTCCGATCAAATAGCCATCTAGAGCATCCAGGTTTCAATAATCATCTAAATTTGATCAGTTCTAGATTTCAGTAAAATTCATCATTCTTCACAATCCCATCCTTAGAATTTGATTTTATGTGGTGGATGGAATTATTTGCTTTCAGATTTATAGTAACTACTTAGATGGTCAGAACCAACCTTTCCCCTGTATTTTATTTCACAACAATAGAAAAATGTTTTAATAGTTTAACTGACAAAAAATTTTAAAATTAAATCAACCAAATCTAATCATAGGTTAGCAATTACTCAAAAAAAAATTTTTGTTGTTGCTGTTTAGATTGAAGTGCTCATTTATGTATGCACTTATAAGTATTTACATTAAACCCCTTTCTGATATTTATATAAATGTTTGTACGGGCGACGAAATCTACCTCAATTGGTATATGACGTAAGCATTAAACGAAAAAATAAAAAAATAAAATAATAGAACAGTCATAAATCTCTTTGATACCCATCTTGTTTCTTAGAAAACAAAAAGATATTCATCATTTACACTATAAAACTAAACAATAAAGAACAACAAATGAATGAATGAATGAATCAAAACAAACATCAAATTTTATTTAAATATTAAATGTGTAGGCGGGTAAAAGCTTCAAGTTAATTAAGATAAACAAGTGTGGACATGTTAATAAATAAAATAATGATAGAAGTTAGTTTACTAATTTGTGCCAATTATAAGTAAATACTAAAATTAGTAGTATGATGGCTTATTATTCTTTAAAATATAGGTAATGAGAAGCAGTGAAAAAAACTTCCATGTTTAGTTGTAGATAAATAACATGAGTGTAGGTTGGTGTGTCAGCTGTAGGTGTAGGTCAGAAATTATGATGCTTCAATGTGAGTATAAGAAAATATTAACAATAGAATGGTTAAAATCATTACAAATTTAATTAAATTCGTTTTAATCATATTCTGAAATGCTTGGAAG